CTGTATGAACCATCCAAGGTGTTCTCCTGCAGTACAGCTGTAATATTTTCCTTAACAAGTTGTGCAACTCCCCACCCCTTTCATATCACCCTCATTTGACAACAGCCCCTCCGTAAACCACCTTCTGGAAGCAGTGACTGCACTGATGCAGATCTTCCCCACGTCAGCCAATCAGCGTCACCACTCTGCTGCCCTCTTCAAGGTACCTGTTCCAACACACTTTCAAGGGCAACCAGGGTCTGGCAATAAAATGTTGGCCTAGCTAACGACCCCTATATTCCATGAATGAATTTTAAAAAGGGAATTCACTTCAAAATTTCACACTGAAATCCTTCAAGGTCACTTCGATCACCATCTAAATCACAGAACAATTCTTACAAATTGGCTGGTTGAACAACATCCTCGTACAAATCAGCCTTGGATTCATCAAGATAGTAATTTGGCACCATCATTCCACAAACAACTGTCCTTGAACACATTGAACACATATCACATTTAGGATGCAAGCTTATTGTAGGCATCTATGAGCCACTGGCACAATTTTCCTAGTTAAGTGGTTTCCATATTTTCACCTCTAGTAAACCTTTATTTACCTTTCAGCCTATTGTTCACATCTTTCAGATCCTTTCTTTGCAGTTCTTATTTACACACATCCAATAACAACACATGTAAACTACTAGGAATAACTGCCATGTCAGTATTAGACAATTTCATATCACTGACTACATTTTCAATGTCCTGCAACTTGAGCAACAGAGGAGCTAACATTTTTTCCCCTTAGTCTTCCCGATCACAAATTCCACATTTCTTTGATGTATTTTTTACAATCCTCTTCATCTATCCGGCCTTTCTTATGAACATGGGTGAAAACGCATTTCTGACATTTCTCTTTGAGGAGAATTCTTCTCTTGAATTTACCAAACACCTTCATGCTGTCTGCCATACATGAATGATCTGCACCTTCTTCTGGCCAGTCATCATTAAGAATTACATTTTCAACATTACTGCTAATAATCCCATTTATTTGCCCAGAGTTCACTGGTGTTTCGTCCACATTTCCAATGTAGGCCAAGATACACATTCTTTTCGCAATATCAAGTGAAATAAAAGTGAAATTTGATAATTTTATCAAGTTCAGTTTGGAGACTGAGTGTAGTTTTCTTTTTCTGATAAAGTCAGCCACGTAATAAATTTAGTGCATCACTAGACACCGGCCCTGAACTCTGAAAACTACCTTTTGTTGGTTCTCTGAAGGACTAGAGTCAGATACCTTCACAGAGAGGTAACATGACCATTTTGGAATACACTTTAATCCTTTGTACATTTTTTTCTCTCTATTTAACTTCCTCTTGTTTTTCAACAGAATCATGACAGGTCATGTGAGACATTAGTTTTTGCAGATTGGCTGATAGATTTTACTTTTGCTAATTTTAGTGGCAACCTAATGGCTCATTCAAGTGCCTTCAAATCAGTGAACCACATTAATTAATTATAGGTTAATTACTAACCATAACAAAAAAAGAAATCAATTAGGAGCAATAGTAGATTATTCAAATTTTTGAAGTGTTCTGCAGTTCATTTCAGTCAGAAATAATTTTCTAGCTCAATGCCATTTTCCTGCATGATTCCCATATTCCTTATTGTTCTTAATATCTAGAAATCTATGGATTGTCTTAAACATATGTCTTGAAGATCTCATATACCTTGTATAAAAGGCAACTTGAGTTTTTAAGAAATTAAGTTTGAAGCTAAAAGTCACGTGATTGACTTTTGCATAAGTACATGCAGTAGCAATAGTTTTCCTGACCTCAAACTATATTATTGTTCCAAAATTGTTTACTAACTTAAATGACAGCCAAAAAATATTTTTTTAAAATACCAAGGACAAATTATGCAAATCCTTAAAAATAATCATTATATTCAGTAGACCCATAGTAATCAGTGAAACTTTACAATATACAATTCTACTAACAAGCAGATGGCCTGAAATTGCTTTATTCTGGTACCAGTCCTCATCAGTAGAAATATACAACTATGCACCAAGGCTCGACAAATTGTTGCCTACATGAATTTATTCTTTCTTCAGTTACCAAAAATGCACAATCCCAGTTCTTCACTTCTCCCTACTCTTATGGTCCCAACTGATGTTATTATGGGAAAAGTAGATTGAAATTGGGCTGGAGAGATCATATTTTGGTTTTATTTTGGGATTGAATAAGATAATTTCTCACAAAGATCAGTAAGAAATATTGGAGATTTTGTTTTATCATTAAAAACAGAAATTTATTACATGAAAGAAATAAAGATAAAATAGAATAAAATCAAACAGTTTACGAATAACACAAGTTTAAAGATTTCAAAACACAACATAACAAAATCCTATTAATCCCAAAAACACTTTTTTGCAGTACTCACAGCAGAGAGAATCTCTAAGTTTAATTTAGTTGTACCTTCAAATCTCAGTCTGGAGAATCTAATGGCCTCTTTCTGGAGCCTTCAAACATCGGGATTCAAACTTTCTCAGCTTTAACTAAACACTTCAGGATCACACTCAAACAATTCTGATCTGGAACAATTAAGTAAATGCTCTCAGGTAGCTTTTTTCTTTAAAAAGAATCCAAACTATCTTCTCTCTTTTTCAGCAGCAAATGTTTCCCTCTAAATATAAACCAAACAAGTCCAAAACTTTCAATCAGAGAGCCTAATGTACTGTTTTGCAAACTTTGTTTGCTTGTAAACAAACAAAAATTCATTAGATTTTAACTCTCTGAAATATTTCACATGAAATCACCATGGCTACAGATATATCTAGAAGTTATTCATTAAACTCCTTCAGATACACAGAATAAACTCTCATGCTACATTTTTGTTCAAAATTCCAAACTCAAAAATTAAAACATATATAAACCTTACACCACATTGCAATCTGTAGGATTTTACAGTCTTCTGTAATGTGGTTGCCTTCTCCTGGAAAATTGAAATGTAAATGCTATCTATCCTGTTGATACAGTCTATCCTGATGAGATAAATTTCACTCTCATTTTAACTTAGACTAGGATTGGGAGGTATGTAGTTGCAAGAATAGATGATTGGAATTTATTCCTCCTGTCCTACAGTTGAAGCAATAAGACAGAAGACATAAGACATAGGAGCATAATGAAGTCATTCGGCCCATCAAGTCTGCTCTGCCATTCTATCACGGTTGATATATTTCTCAATCCCATTCTCCTGCCTTCTCTCTGTAACCCTCAATTCCCTTACCAATCAAGACCTATCTGTGTCTGACTTAAATACACTCAAGGACTTGGCCTCCACTGCCCACTGTGGCAATCAGTTCCTCAGCTTAACTACCCTCTGGTTGAAGAAATTCCTTTTCATCTCAGTTCTAAAGGCTTCACCCTAAGGCTCTGTCGTCAGGTCCGAGTCTCTCCTACTCGTGGAAACATCTTCTCCATATCCACTCTATCCAGGTTTTTTACTATTCTGTAAGTTTCAGTCAGATTCCCTCCCTTCATCCTTCTAAACATTGAGTACAGACCCAGAGACCTCAACTGCTCCTCATATAACAAGCCCTTCATCCCCGCAATCTTTCTTGTAAACTTCCTGTGGACCTATTTCAACGCCAGCTTATCACAATAAAGCAGGACTTGGGATTTACATTGATTAAACTTTTCCTGAATGCAGTTTATAATTTCTCCTATATTTCTGCTCGTAATTTTTATCAATTAACTGGTCATTCCTTCTGTATCTACGTAGCCTTCTTTCTTCAACATAGAGTATGCAAGTCCATCCTACACTATAATGGCCAGAGCATCATAACTGAACATTCCTTCTTTCCAACTCTACGGGAGAAGAAAAAAAGCAGCAAATCAGTGTGTATGTTTATTACTGTGTTAGATAAATGGGGAGCCAGTTAGCTCAGTTGGCCAAGAATGTAATGCTGAATCACATGAATAGCTCAAAGTTCCAACAACACTCTAGCTGAGGTGGTTCTTGGGGCCTACCTCCATGCCTTGCCCTGTAATTATATCATGACACAAGCCAAGATTAGCAACCCTCGATAAAGTACAGCAAAGTGCAAAATCAGAAAAACACTCTGTACGAATCATCCAAACAGCTGCCAAGCTACCCTGATTTTTGGATCTTCCTTGTCTCTGGAGTTATATGGAAACAGCCAAAATGGGCAGCAATGTGCTCCATTTCAACACTATAATCAAATTCCTTCACGTAGGTTTACTTGAAAAAATTCTGATCTTTCTAATCACCTACAGTTCAGATGTAGTCAAATAAGGAGGAGCCTGCACCAGAACTATACACATATTCAGCATGTTATTGTACCAAATACAGAATGACTAACTTTAAGAAAATGGGACACTGCAATAAAATACAAGGAATTTTCTAATACATAAATTCTTTATATCCAGTTACATTTATATCTGGTACACTATCGTGTTCTATGTTTTCCTCTCCCTACACTAGTTATTACTACATATATGTTCCAGATAATCTACGTTTCCTTTATTGTTAGAGTATGATTGCAGTATACAGTCAGTAAATTTTATTTCTACTCCACTGCTAATAGTTACAGTATACATTTTCAATCACTACAGTATCACCATAATGTTCCACTTTTAAGATGATGATTATATTTTGTAAGTTACACACTCTGCACAGTGAATGATGATAGTATACATTTTCTAAGTTACACTGTTTGCACGGTGAACGATTACAGTTTAGTTTCTGTACTATTACAGTATGATTTCCGTGTCACTCTCATTAATTACAAAATGAATTCAGCACGCTAAACTCTCCCCACGTTAGAGACGACAACGAACATTCGGCATGTCTCACTCTCCTTATATTTTTCAATCCTTGCAGTGTATATTGCAAGTCTTACACTCTGCTCTTCTTTGAAGCCTGTAGACACTGCCCCGCTGACAGGTGCCTGTTTCCTTGGAAACGCGGCCCGCCGCCCTGTCCCCGCACTCAGCCTCACTCACCTTACGAACACTACCGTTGCCTCGCAACTCGGTCTCCGCTCCGCTCTCCGTCATGCCAATCCAGCCCTCGCGCGACAAAATTGTAGAGAGAAAAATAAAAGAAAATTCGCCCCAAATCTATCG